CTGGGGCCTGCGGGGAAGGCTGCCCGGAGGAGGCGGCGACGGTGGCGGCAGCGGTGTGTCCCCGGCCCCCGGGACAGCGGCTTTCTTCCTGCCAGGTAGGTCGCATGAGCGCGCGTGCGGTTCCTCTGCTCCCATCCTGAGCCGGCCTCCCCGCACGGGTCTGCAGCGCGTGTCCTGGAGTCCCTTCTCCATCACCTTTCAGACTCCCTCTCTTGCTCTGCCCCCAACCACCACCACCACCTCCCTGAAGTCCCGGGACCTGGACAAGGCTTTGTTGGTAGCCGGGAGAGGCCGAGTTGGGGTGAGATGGGGCGCGCGGGGGATACAGGACACCCCCCACATCCGTACAAGGAGAGATGCACACGGCCCCCAAGTGTCACAGGATCTCCCTCTCTGCCCTCCACACAGAGTGACTATCTTGGAAACCAGAGAGCCCCCTCCCATTTGATATATGGGCCTGGAATGTACATCATTCAATCTCCATTGGACCCCGATTTGTCACTGCATACTGGAGACACAGGTCCTTCATTCACCACAGGTCATGGGCTGTATGTGTGCACCCAGGACACCCACACACACATACAGTTGGTGGCTCAGTCTGATGTACCTGACACTCACACCCTCCCCCAGGCCCCCAGTACCGTGTCTCTACATGGGTTGCACAGCCCCAAACTGAAATGAGTGCTCAAGTCTATCTCTTGAGCATTGCCTGCCCCATGGACATACCAGCTCTGTGTCCCCACTTTGGCAGGTCTATCCATCTGTCCATCTATCCGTGGGGGGCCACAATGGCCACCTTCAGCCGCCAGGAATTTTTCCAGCAGCTGCTGCAGGGCTGTCTCCTGCCTACTGCTCAGCAGGGCCTTGACCAGATCTGGCTGCTGCTTACCATCTGCCTCGCCTGCCGCCTCCTCTGGAGGCTCGGTAAGTGCCTGCCACACGATGTGCCACCATACCAGGCCATATCACACCTGCCATGTTCATCCATACCAAGCCACACCTTATGCTGCCATGTCTTACGTCTAATCATGTTAAGCCAGGTACCAACATGTCCAGCCCACCACATCCCACCAGGCCAAGCACCATTCCACCACACCATGTCCTACTACACCCAGCCATACCATGCCATACCATGCCAAGCCACATCCAGCCATGCTAAGTCATGCCTTTCAGTATTCCTGGGTTCTGGGCTTCTGGAAAGCTGAGGTTCTTGGAACTAGTGATCCTGAAATGTCTACAGCCCAAGGTTATAAGATTCTGGAATGCTAGTGTCAGAGGGTTATGGAATCCCAAAGTACCACATTATAGGGTTTGGGGATTCTGACAAGTTGAAATTCTTACATTCTAGGCTTCCAAATGCTGGCATTCTGGATTTCTAGAATCAGGGCATAGTAAGATTTCCAGATTCTAGGACTGTGAAATGTTTCTACAATTACAGCAAGCCTATATGTAAATGATAAGATTCCAAGTTCCCAAGGTCTCCATAGGATACTGAGAATTTTGGAAATCTGAGATTCAAAGGTTCTACACTTTCTTTCATCTTTTTCTTTTATTTTAAGTGGATGATTTATTTTTTCCTGGGTTTATCATTTTGAAATATTTCAGTTACCGAAAAGTTGAAAGAATAGTACAATGAACACCCATATACACATTACCAGATTCTCCAACTGTTGACATCTTCCCACATTGGCCGATTCTATCTATCTGTCTGTCTATCATCTATCTATTTATCTATTTATCTATCTATCTATCTATCTATCTATCTATCTATCTATCTATCTATCATCTTCCTGAATCACTTGAATAACCTGCTGACATTTCACCCCAAATCCTTCAGTGTGTATCCCCCAAGAACAAGGACATCTTCCTCAACAACCACAGCCTCAGCCATCACCCCTCAAGAAATTTAATCTGGATGCAATAATATTACCCAATATAGTTGATGCTCAAATTTCCCCTGAATGTCCTTTATGGATGTTTCTTTTCTTTAAACCCAGACCCTGCCACCTCTCTAGCTCCCCAACTCCTGTTTTGGGCCCCCTGCAATCCCACCACATTCCAACCTCTAGGCTTTTGTCCAGGCTGTGCCCTCTGCCTAGGTTGCCCTTTCTTCCTACCAGCCCGCCCAACTTCCTTTTCTTGTTTTCTTTTTCTCATCTGAAGGGTTGCCATCCTACCTGAAGCACGCAAGCACCGTGGCAGGAGGGTTCTTCAGCCTCTACCACTTCTTCCAGTTGCACATGGTTTGGGTCGTGCTGCTCAGCCTCCTGTGCTACCTCGTGCTGTTCCTTTGCCGACATTCCTCCCATCGAGGTGTCTTCCTCTCCGTCACCATCCTCATCTACCTGCTCATGGGGTATGAGTATGAGCCCTCATCCCCAGACTATCAGCAGAAGGGCAGCTGGGCCCCTAGGCTGCTCCTTGTGAAGGTGTCCAGGACAGGGAGGGCGTGAGGTGTTCCTGGAGGAGGGAATATAGGAAACTTATTCTTTCTGAAGGCTATACAGGACAGGCTGGGCTTGGGCTCCCCCTGGAGGAGGGAGTCCTGGAGAATTATTCCTCCATTTGGTTGTGCAGGACAGAGGGAAGTATAACCCTCTCTGAACCCTGACTTCCCCCTTTTGTGGTCTCCGAGGCCATGGGAGTCATGAGGCCAAGACCACCACCTTTTTTCCTTAGTGAGATGCACATGGTGGACACCGTAACATGGCACAAGATGCGAGGTAGGCAGCCCTGGCCCTCTGACCTGCTCCAGCCCTCCTGCCCCACTCCACCTCTCCTAACTCCCCCAATCCTGTCTTCCTTCCCCACTTTTCTCCCTCATATGCCCACCCTACTGGACATGCTGGCCTCAGATTCCCTTTACATCTGTGTCTCTCTCTACCATGCCTTCCCTCACTCCTCTGTCTGTCTTTCTCATCTCACGTACATGCCTGACTCATGAATAAGGGTATCTGCCAGTCCTGGGTTCACCTGCCTGTCTGACTCCATGCCCACCTGTCCATCCTTGTACTCCTCTTTTCCTACCACCCCTCGCCTGGTGCTCCCTATCCCCCCATGCTTACCTGCTCTCTGCCCATCCACTTGACCATGGGCACCACACATAGGGGCCCAGATGATCGTGGCCATGAAGGCGGTGTCTCTGGGCTTCGACTTGGACCGGGGCGAGGTGGGTGCGGTACCCTCGCCTGTGGAGTTCATGGGCTACCTCTACTTCGTGGGCACCATCGTCTTTGGGCCCTGGATATCCTTCCACAGCTACCTACAGGCTGTCCAAGGTCGCCCACTGGTGAGGTCCTGGGTGGACAGGAGGGCAGGGACTGTGGGAGCCACCACAGGGCAGTGTTCATGGAGCCTTGATCCCCACAGAGCCGCCGATGGCTGCAGAAGGTGGCCCGGAGCCTGGCGCTGGCCCTGCTGTGCCTTGTGCTGTCCACCTGTGTGGGCCCTTACCTCTTCCCATACTTCATCCCCCTTGATGGTGACCGCCTCCTTCGCAAGTGAGCACGGCCTTTGAGGCCTCTACCCAGCAGTGAGCGGGTTGGGTAGGGACCTGGGGTTTCCCCAGCTCTAAGCCTGTCTCTTAATGCTTCTGTCTGTCTTCTGTTACTACAGCAAGAAACGCAAAGCCAGGTAAATGAGGGCAGGTGCTGAGGGCGAGTGGGCTAACTAGGGGCGGGGGCACAGTTTGTGACCGATTGATTCTATTAAGTCTGAGACCATCTGACCACCTAGCCCATGACTGGACAGAGACTGTCTGTCTATGGCTGTTGTCTGGCCAAATTGGCTCTGTGATTCCATGTATGAGTGACACTCTGACACATACCATGTATGGCTGTCCATCTGTTCCACTGTTTCACTATTAGAAACAAGTTACATAACTGCAAGGGGGAGCGACAAGTATATGTTGGTTGGTGATGCTGACCTGCCTGTGACTCTGACTAGGGGTGTGTATGGGTTGTTTGCCTATCAGCCACTGACTCCCTGTGTGGGACTGGAGTTCTGGCTGTCTGTCTGTGCCATTGTCAACAATGAGGTGTGTGGCTGTCATTGGGTAAGGTAAGTCTAGCTTGTCTATAACTCTGGCTTGGAATGGGTCTGATTGTAGCATGTTGTGTGTCTGTCTGTGATGGATTCTGCCTATGGATCTGCCTCCTCTGGCTGTGTGATGTTGTCTAGCTGAGGAGTCACGACGGACTGTGTGTGTGCCTGTGCCTGTCAGCAGGACTGACCATAGGCCTCTGGTGCGACTGTAAGATTTCATCCGGCTATGTGATCGTATGATTCCCTCCCCATTCACTGGCCATTGATTGTATCTGACGCTGAATGAGGCTCTGGAATGTGAAGTAACTTGCCCAGTGTCACCCCGCTAAGCAGCCAGGCATTAATCCCAGGCCTGATTGCAGAACCAACACTTTTTCCAGTGTAGAACTCTGCCTATTTTTGACCATGTCTAATGTATAACTGACAGGATGACTATCTTGAGTGTAGACTTGTGTATGTGTGCATAGCAGGGTGCTTACTGGTCTTTGTGCCTAACTAAAGGACTTTTGTATGTCTTATGGTCACTGAGTCAGGTTAGAGAGCTGCGAGGCTGGGAGTCTGATAGTATTTGTGTCTGGCCATGTAGCTGTGGCAAGGTGTAGGGCTGTGAGATTGGGCCTCTGACAGTGGCTGGGTCTGGATGTCTGGTGGTGTGAGATTGCAGGACCGTGTTATATTGTAGGGCAACTCACACATCCATTTGAGCCCCATGAAACTAACCGACAGTGTATGTATGTATGTGTGTTACTATCATACTGCACATTTTTGCCACCATGTTTCTATCTTGTCTGTGAACAACTCAGGCCAGCTTCCTGGGCCTCTCTGACTCTCTTTCCTTTCTTCTCTGCTGCCTTCCTGATCCCCGGGGGCCTTAGGGGCACCATGGTAAGGTGAGTCTACAAAGTGGGGCCAGGGATGCTGACACATGATAGGGTGTCATGCTGGCCCCTGGGAATGATGCCTCTCCCCGCTGCTCCTTTCTCCCCAGGTGGCTGCGAGCCTACGAGAGTGCTGTCTCCTTCCACTTCAGCAACTATTTTGTGGGCTTCCTGTCCGAGGCCACAGCCACACTGGCGGGGGCTGGCTTCACCGAGGAGAAGGATCACCTGGAATGGTGGGGAGGGCTGGGGGGCTCCTCTCCCACAGGGTGCTGCCTAAAGGACATGCAGGGAGGAGGGGGGGTGCTCCAGGAGAGGAAACTGCCAAGACAAAAGTATGGCAGTCAGACAGATAGAGATCCCAGATAAATTTGTATCTCTTCTGCCCACAGGGACCTGACGGTGTCCAAACCACTGAACGTCGAGCTGCCTCGGTCCATGGTGGAGGTTGTCACAAGCTGGAACCTACCCATGTCTTACTGGCTAAATAACTGTGAGTCGCCAAGTCAGCACTCCTCAGGCCCTATAGTCATTCTTTCATACATTCATACAACAAATATTTACTGAGAACCTACTACATGCTAGGCACTGAAGATACTACAGGGACCAAAACCAAATCCCTGCCCTCGTGGAGCTGGCATTTTTGTAGGTGGAGCAGATAAGAGAAAAAATACACAATAGTTCAGGTGGTGATAAGTGCTATTGTAAAATATAATAATAAAGCAGGAAAACATGATCTGGGAGTGTTGGCAATGGGGGCGGGAGGTTGTGATTTTAAATAAATTAGCCAGAGCAAGTCCCATGGAGGAGGTGACATTTGAAAAAAGACCTGAAGAAGATGAGAGGGCAAGCAATATGAATATGTTGGGGAGGAGTATAACAGATAGTAAGAACAGCTAATGCAACAGCCCCGAGGCAAGAGTGTGCCTTGCACATTT